GACTAAGAGAGAGAGATGACCGCTGGAGTATACTATTGTAGCTGTATGGCTGCTGTCAGAGCTTGTAGACATATATGTACATGCAAGTGAAAGAAACTATTGCTGCACTGTTTTGCATTTAGAGCACTAAAAGCAGTTTTGGTCCTTGTCATCATCACCACATTGCTCAAACATGACAGGTTTATGTGGGGTTTATTATTTGGGGAAATGTGGTATTCCACTATACCAACAACACTGAGTCAAAAAAACGTTTTGATTGAATTTCCAGTGCATTGCCAGTGCATGGGCCCAATGATGCAAGGTTTCAGCATATTGCATGAGAGGGTTTCGAGATACGTAGGCTTCGACTGAACCTGGAGAACTCAAAAGTAGGGCATTTAAAAATAGTGTACTGAATCTCTGTGGTCACATTTCGGCGTAAGTACTCAACTGAAAAACACAGAGCTCTCTTTCAGCCCTTTATTATAGAACAATAGATATGTGTACAAAATGATATTTTTGTTGAGATATTGTATCTCAGGCAATAGCGTATTTACAAAAACATCATACTTGTCATTCAGTCATTGTAAATATTGACAGATGAAAGATTCCCCTGAAATTACTAAACTATCTATTCATCCTCCTCCATAATTATGACATTACTTCTTTCAAATATTATCAGTCTTCCCAAAGGAAGTGAAACTGAGTTTTAGTTTAGAAGGGAAATATAAAATACAGCTCAGAAAGTTTGGTCATGGGATGCCGTGTTCAGAGGTACTCAACAAGCTCATGCTCATGCCCTAAAGTATAACGACATCACAGCAGTGTTCATGAAATTGCCCATGTTTGGTATACATGGCAACGCAATATGACCCCCAGCTTCCTCCATGTGCATCATGGGATAAACTGACTCCCACATATTTGCTGGCAGAGTCTGACAGTGATTGAGGTGTTGAAAGATAAGGGGAATTCAGACATCTGAGTAATCTAACACTTGTCTGACTAATCTCATAATTTTGTACAATAACAAAACTTCCTCTTTATTTAAACAGAGACTGCATGCTAATCTGACAGGTATTGATGGAGAAATCATTGGTTCATTGGACTGACATATGTATGTGCCATTGCAAAATGTTGGAAGTAAATATTACAATTAATATTAATAAACAAGATATTATACCAAGTGTTGTTTTTTGTAAAGAAATATTGCAAATGCACACTGGTTTTACAATGATAAAACAACAGATATACTGTTCATAATAAAGCCATTCGGTCTGATATTATCTAATGCGTTGACATTCAAACATTTTTAATGCTTTTATACTAATATATCTGCACTACTGATCAAAGTTTGAGGTCGGTGAGATTTTGTATAGTTTTGAAAGTGTCTTATGTTCACCGAAGCTGCATTTATTTGATCAAAAACACTGTGAAATATTATTACGATTTAAAATGACTGTTTTCTATTTTAATATATATTCAAATGTAATTTATTCTGTGATACAAAGCTGAATTTTCAGCATCATTACTCCAGTCTTCAGCGTCACATGATCTTCAGAAATCATTCTGATATACTGATTTGCTGCTCAAGAAACATTTATTTTCATTATCAATGTTGAAAACATTTTTTTTAAACCGATACATATTTTTCTTACATATATTTCCTTTTTTTCTTAGGATTCTTATAAATACAAAGTTCAAAAGTATGAAAATGGACATATTTTGAAGCATTATAAGCGTCTTTATTGTGAGTTTAATGCATCCTTGCTGAATAAAAGTATTAATTTCTTTGAAAAGCAATCTTATTGACCTTTTGAACAGTACTGTATATACTATGCATTTCCCTTGAAGTCTTTGCACATGATTCTATCCTTTGATCAAGATGCAAATGCTGTTATGCTACAAGTCAGTGGATGTGATGATACTCCCAGTTATTCAGGGGGACATACTTTTGTGGGTGTCTAGTTTCACGGGTGAAACAAGGTTTCCTCTTTCTCCTACAATCACCTTTTATTAGGTTGGGTGCTTTACCTTGCCCTGACACATCTTAGGGTTGAGATTGTGGGTGGGGGACTAATCACACTCCCTAAATACTTCAAGGTCTGGGAATTTTTGTTAATGTTTGCTCATTTTGAATAGCTGTGGGAAACACACAGACACTCACACACACACACACACACAAAGGGGACCTTTCAACAACCTTCCAGCACACACGTACCTGCGTGCTTCTGCTGAATAGATATGCTGTAATCCTGTGACCACAATTTCCTAGCTCTGCAAACTCATTCAATCTTCTTTTAAAAAGCATGATCATATTCAATACATTGTGCAATACCTCATATAAATGTATATATTTACTTAGAGGGAGCCACTGTATTTATTTGAGTTTTTCCCATAGATTTCAAACATTTGTGATTATCAAAAGTGTTCCTTTTATTAATATATTTAAACAAATAACTAAGCACGAAATAAAAGAAAATACTCTGTTAAACTGTAAAATGAGATCACGACGCCTTAGTAATGTGTTGTTCTTATTGAGATTATTTGTATATGAAAGCCCATTTCTGTCACATAAGAAAACAAATCATGCGTTGGTCAATCATAATTATGAGATATCTATGAAAAGAAATTATGACATACTAACTTGAAATTATGAAATAAAAAACATTCGACTTTTTATGTCAATTCTGGCTTTTTATTTCACAATTTGTACTTTTTTATCTCATAATTTTGTCACAGTTTTGACGTTTTATTTACGTTGTCGTACATTTGACTTTTATCTCATTACTGTCATAGAATGTCATGATTTTGACTTTTCACTTTATAATTATGACTTAGTTTCTCATAATTGTATTTTTTATGTCCCACAGTAATTATGACTCTGTATCTCCTAATTATAAGTGACTAAAGCCTGATTTTTTTTCTCATGTAATGGAATGGGCCATAGTGTATGAGGATTATTATACCTAAAAAGACTTCTTGAGGCTCGAGCATGAAATATTCACCGCAAAATAAAAAGGTTAATAAGCTCAAAAGCATTGTTAATGCTTGAGAAGTAAATAAACAGCTATATCTTTCAAAAACATCTTTCATAGACAAACCTGATGATATATAAAATGAGACCAAAAAAAGCCCTGTAGACAAAGACCTGTTTAGGATCCCTAGTTTTTTTTCTTAAAATGTATTTGTTTGACTGCAAGATATTTTACAACATAAGGAATATTTTAGATGTAACCAGAGATGTACGATTCATAATCTGTCTTCTCTCATTTGTCGTAAATCGTGGATATATGTTGTCCTTTTTTATTGCTATAAAGAAAGTACAAAAATCAATGCCAAGGTTAGTTTAGGATCCCTAGGTTTTTTTATTATAATATATGAAACACAGAATGACATTAATATACTACATGCCAGGGAGCAAGAAAATAATGTACCTTTTAAAAAGATTCACAGTTTTTACAGCTTTCTCATTGGAAGAGTCAGAAATCAAATACATATGCAGTTGTAACTCTTCCAGAAAAAGGTTTAAGAAAGGCTTACACTTGCAATATTTACATTTGTGTACAAAATATTTGGCGAGAAACGAAATAAGATTGAGTACATAAAAAAACATCTGATTGTTCTCTTTCAAAATGTGCATAACCCAGAATAACATTTTCATATTTCAATGAAATTTCAGGAATTATACCACAAAAAATAGTACTCAAAATGTTTTGCCACCGATTCTTAGTATGCTCACAATACCAAAATAAATGAGACAAATCTTCAATTTACATCAAAATCCTCTGAAATAAACCTTTGTAAAAAAAAAACATTTTGTGGGATAGCACCGATGACACTTTTTATAAGACACTTCTTTTATCTTATTGTACAAAAATAATTTTTGAGGCAAAACCCACACTCTAGCCCAGTTCATTTCACCTACATGGCTGTTCCAATAAAAGATGGCATTCGGACAAGAGACAGCCTCATTCTGGAACAGAGCACGAATGCTCCTATTATTTGATTTGGTGGTACACTCTTAAAAATAAAGGTGCTTCACGATGCCATAGAAGAACCTTTTGGTCTAAATGGTTGCATAAAGTAGGGTGACCATACGTGCCATTTTCCCTGGCCAGGATTTCTATATTGCCTAAAATATCTAGGTTTTGGCTTTGTTTGCGTGTGCATAAAGAACCTTTAACATCTGAAGAACCTTTCTGTTTGACAAAAGGTTCTTTGTGGCGAAAGAAGGTTCTTCAGATTACAAAAAGGTAAGAAAGAGATGGTTCTTTAAAGAATCTTTGACTGAATGGTTCTTTGTGGAACCAAAAATGGTTCTTCTATGGCATCGCTTGAAGAACCTTTTGAAGCACCTTTATTTTTAAGAGTGTAAGGGATAATTTACCAACATATGTATCAAATACATTGAGATATGGCACGATCTGAGAGACCTTGTTATTAAAAACATAATAATCCCAGAAGGGATAACTCCAAAAACAATAGCATATTCTTTCGCTGTAATTGGGATTTTATAACGTGACAAAAACTCCTCATATTTTAAAGGAATCCCTTGGTCATTGAATAACTGTCTCACCAAAATAATATAATTTTTAGCCCAATTATCAAAATTAATTGATTTATTCTTGTACAGCAGATCTCTGTTGTGCCTAATGATATAAATGTGTGAGGAAACATTATGCTTGTAAATGAAAGACCACGATAAGAGACATTGTTTGTGAAAGTGAGACAAAAAATGTAGACTACCTAATTTAGAAAAGAATAAGATTTGGTATAAAGTTCCATAAAGAGGTGGGATTTTTAAAAAATGTTGTTTAATCCAATTTATTTTAAATGTATAATTTAGGGTAGAAAGGCTGATGAAATGAAGTCCACCTTTTTCATAAGAATTCATAACTACAGATTTTCTAATAATAATGTTTCTTATTTTTCCCATAAGAAATGAAATAAGCATTGGTCGTTTAGGATCCCAATGAGGTAACCTGCACCCTCACGTCTCAACCGGAAGCTGCGCCTTCCAATCGCCACGCCCACATAAACGTCACGGCAGAGTGACCAAACCCGGAAGTGAAGATGGCGACCGCCTACGAGAGGTTCAACCTGTAAGTTGAAACTTTTATTCGAGCGCGGCGACAGATATAAACGCGCCTCGCTTTAATGAAGGGCGTCTGTTTTAATGGCAGCGTCCGTGGGCGCTGTCAGGAAGGTCCAGGGCAGTTTTCGGTCGTGGTGAAAGCTGCTCTCGCTTAAGCCGTTCAGACTGGCTGTGTTTCAAAACCCAGCGAGCTGCATGTCTAGACCGCGTTTAAACGCGACTGCATTACGACAGCTCAGGAGTTAGGTTTATTTGTTGAAAATAAAACATTGTCTTTTCTGCCTTTTTCATAGGCATGCAACACCTGAGAAGTTCTACATTGAGGCCTGTGGTGATGGAGCTAATGACGTGTTGGTTATTGATAGGGTGTCCACCGAGATGACCCTCTCAGGTACAGTCTGACTACTAATAAGACTGCAAACCAGTTCAAATTCTTTGTATTCCATTTCATCTTGAATGCAAATGGCCCATTTTATGATTACAATGATTACAGTTTTCTTTTTTTTTTTAAAGAACTTAATACTTTCACTGAACAAGGACACATTAAATTGATCAAAAGTGACAGTCGAGACATTTAAAATGTTACAAAGGATTTCTATATCAAATAAGTGCTGATTGAGAAAAGCCTCAGAATAGACTTGTGGCACTGTTTAATCAGGAGTTAGGTTTATTTGTTGAAAATAAAACATTGTCTTTTCTGCCTTTTTCATAGGCATGCAACACCTGAGAAGTTCTACATTGAGGCCTGTGGTGATGGCGCTAATGACGTGTTGGTTATTGATAGGGTGTCCACCGAGATGACCCTCTCAGGTACAGTCTGACTACTAATAAGACTGCAAACCAGTTCAAATTCTTTGTATTCCATTTCATCTTGAATGCAAATGGCCCATTTTATGATTACAAGTTAGTAAGATGTTTTCTTTTTTTTTTTTAAGAACTTAATACTTTCACTGAACAAGGACACATTAAATTGATCAAAAATGACAGTCGAGACATTTAAAATGTTACAAAGGATTTCTATATCAAATAAGTGCTCTAGAATAATAAAACAGCTCATTTAAAATATAGTTTGTCTTCCTGAGGTTGCCGAGGAACATTTTCTGAAGGTTAAAGCGCCTAATTTCTCTGACCATGTGAAAAAGTACAGTGAAAAATGTATAGTTTGAGCAGCTGTGATCTGACATTTATGAACAGCTACAACTTATAATGGAATCAGACCTTTTAAAGTATACAGGCATCGATGAAAAGTTATGGCAGCTATTTGGACTTTGCTGCAGTTCTCTGTTTTAATGGTGACCTTGCAAAGTGACATTTCATCACTGTTGTCAGTGTGACATTTTACGTTTGAGGTAGTTGCTGTGGTCTTTTGTTAAAGGTGTATTCCAGGAATAGCACAGCACAGGTCTGTTACTTCCTCTTATTGAAGCAAAGAAGTATATTAAATATGCAATCGTCAAAATGAGTGTTACTGTGACTTGAATGGTGCATTAATGTTTTTTCCTCTTGAAGGTATTAAGGACATCCCCCCATCAGGCGTAACCAGGCCCATTTGTGGAATCATGGGAACTACTCGCCTGGTGGCTGGTAGGTTCTACATTATTATGATGTTCCGATTTTCCAGAGAATTCAGAATGTTGATTGTATGATGTATACTGTTGATTACCATGACGCATGATTTTTTTTTTTTTTGGTTCTGCAGGGATGTACCTCATAGTCATCACCCGGAAAAGGAAAGTGGGCGACCTGTTTGGCCACACTGTGTGGAAAGCGCTGGAGTTTGAAGTGATTTCTTATAAGAAGACCATTTTGCACCTCACAGACATTCAGGTCATTAAAGTCCCTAACCTCAACCTTCAGTTTAATGCTGATGTTTGTGACACCTTGAGTAGAAAGCGGGCTATAAATGTCATTCGTTGTTTGATCAGTTGCCCAGTGTTTCTCTAAATCATAACCAAAGGTTTCCTGCTCTGAACTTTTAGGCCTTTTTTTCCATTTACAGTTTACTCAGAAATGCTGTAAGAACAACGCAACAGATTCACCCCCGGCTTGTGAAATTGGGTGTACTCATACAGTAAATTTTTCATTTGAGCCCACGCTCGGAACGCAGCGATATCTCATTACAGTGTTGTAAACTTGCTGCATTATTTAGCAAGGAGTCTTCGGCTGAAATGGCCTTGGATGCAGCCTGTGAGTAGACCAGTATTGGACACGTGAAGTGTTTTCGTGCTGGAGTTGAAACAAGTACATGGGAGGCTTGACTGCAGCCAACTAGATCATTAAAGTACTCCAAACATCTCTACTCTCATCAGAAGGTTCAGTGTAAGCGCATGAGGTCTGCAGTGGATCCTTCTAGCTACACTAGCTTGGTTTCATGTGCTGTTTCGTTCCAAAATGTGTCCGAAAACAAATTAATGCAAGTGCGTTCTGCGTTCTCAGCAATGTTTGCATACTTGCCTAAACTATGTTTCTGGCCTGGATGAAAGTGTCACACGTTTACTAATCCGCTTTCCACCCTGATTTTAGAGAAGGTGATGATTCCTTGCATGAATTGTCTATGTAATGTTTTATGTTGAATATTGTGAAATTTTCATAATGAATTGCATGTAAAAATAAGCGCTTTGGGCAGAGTTGAGCAGAAGGGAATAACTGCAATGAGAGATGAGTTTGCGTACAAAGGCAAATGGTTCTGCTGACCAGGTTCTTCTGGGAGGAGGAAGTGATGATTCCTTGCATGAATTGTCTATGTAATGTTTTATGTTGAATATTGTGAAATTTTCATAATGAATTGCATGTAAAAATAAGCGCTTTGGGCAGAGTTGAGCAGAAGGGAATAACTGCAATGAGAGATGAGTTTGGTTCTGCTGACCAGGTTCTTCTGGGAGGAGGAATCAATTCAGGTCGTTCATATTCCACTCCATTCCCAGAGCTTCATGGATAGTGATTCTGTAACAGCAGAAAGGATATGCTGGCATTGGATGAGAGTTTAGTTTTGGCACCCGCATGTGGACCAAAGCTTGTTTTCAGTAATGATTAGGGTTGCTCCGATTGATCGGCTGCCGATCGCTATCGGCCGATAATCGCTTTGGGAAGTTTGATCGGCGGTCTCTATAAAGGCCGATCTCAAGCTGATGACTCGCCTGCGGTGAGAGGTTTGGCATGACATGCAGCGGCAACTGTCTCAATCTCTGTCAGGCGCGGGTAAAGTAATTATAATGCTGAAGGTGAGGTACAATTCATATTTCTTTATTAAATAACTTACAAAGTAATTTGAAAACTTTCTGTGAAACGTAATTTCACAAAGAGCATGAGTGAATCATGGCGCACTCTCTTTCTTTCCCTCTCAAAATGCACAAATGGCTTCAAATCACCACATGGCATCTGCACTATAAGCGAGCTACACACTGCACAGTTGACACAGGAATTGTCACTTGCACAATCGAGACAGTGCCGCATCATCACTAAAAGTTATCATTTGCATTTCTTTTTAAGCCTTGCCAGTGTTTAAACTATTCAGCACTCGCGCACTCTCCTAGAGTGAACAGAAATCCTGATTGGAGCATCACTATAAATAATTCTAAATGATAAAAAGAGGCTTCAAAAAGATCAGCATCAGTGATCATACCGGCAGAGACTGCTTCCTGTGATCGTCGATCGTTGATTGGCCCCAAAAATCCTGATCGGAGCACCCACCCTTAGTAATAATTAATGAGTTGTACTAAAGTAATATTTCTGTGAGTGTTGTGTGATGCATTGGAGCAAATTAACCCATGAACATGCTTGTTTTGAATACATGATATGCACTGGCTTCAACTACAAGACTCTCTCTCTCTCTCTCTCTCTCTCTCTCTCTCTCTCGATCGAACAAGTGAAACCCTTTCCCTTTGTCAAAGTCATATAGCACTAACTTAACAGTTAGTTCTGTTACAGGCACATTAAGGGTTCACAAGAGAGATACGAGTTCAGATTTCAGATATTGTGATCCAAATTTGTCAATTATAAATTTAAAGTAATTTAAATTAAAAGTTTATTTGTTTTTATTAAATTTGCCAAAGAAATGTGAGAGGTGTTTTTTTTTATAAAAGAAAAAATAGTATCACATATTATGATATCATAAATATAAATATTGCATTCTTAATACAAACAAATAGTTTATTATTAGTAGCACTGCTGATTATTAGTAGTATGAATAATTAATAAATGATAACAATAATTAAAAGTAATAAAATAATAATAGAAATATTAAAATATCTCAATATAGTTTATTACATTATTTATTATATACATGATGTATATATTACAATATTACATTATTTAATGTATTACTTGTTGTTACATATTATAATAATGATAATAATACTTGATCTGCAAATATTCACATACAATTTTATTATATATTAATAATCTATATATTGTGATGTATATTGATATTGACTGTAATTGTAAGGTTTACTATTAATTATAATGCCTATATTGCTCAGCCCATTTCCCCATTGTCCTGTCATTTCTTTTGTGCCATAAAAATGGAAAAGGCCCCAAATAAAATAATAATTAAAACAATAACCCTAGTCTTATTTCTGTTCAAATCATCTGTTGCCGCAGTCTTATTCAATGGCTGTTTTCTTCTCACAGATGCAAGACAACAAGACGTTTCTGTCTATGATCAGCAATGTACTCAACACAGACGGTTTCTACTTCTGCACGGACTATGACCTGACCCACACCCAGCAGCGCCTGTCCAACACCAGCCCGGACTTCCAGGAGATGAGCCTGCTGGAGAGGGTGAGCAGAGCAAAGACTGAGGGATGATGATGATGATGATGGCAGAAGAGAGACAGAGCTGTTTGAAGTTTCAGTGGCAGAGAGAGAATGCTCGTTGTCTAAAACTACATCCCTCATTTATAAAACTGTCTCATTGTAAGATAGATTGCACAGCTCTTGTTTTACCTGCTGACACGCTGTGATTACCCTCACATTTTGTTTTTATGTTTTCAAAGAGTATTTGTGTCTGGCTTTTGACACAGTTTGTAATTTTGCAGTGTTCAGTGTTTTCAAACCGCTTGTGTACATTTGGTTACATTGTTCATGTATTAGACACTTCAAAAAAACAATAACTTCTAAGAGGATTCCTGTACATTGGTCTTCATCATTTCTCCACACAGGCAGACCAGAGATTCATGTGGAATGGAAACCTTTTAAGAGAAATAATCGCACAACCTGAGGTATAAAAAATATACCTAATTCATAAAACGTATGAGGAAATCGCACATACTAATTCACTGATTCCCCTTTTCAGCTCCATAAATTTGCATTTCCTGTCATCCACGGATGTATCCTTTGAGAGATGTCATGTTGTTCATAGTTAAGTTGCTCACTTTATTTTGCCTTGATTGTCCAGAGGAAGCAAATTATGAAGTGTATGCTGCTCCTCTTAAAGATCACAGTATGTAGCTGGTCACGATTAGTTAATAATAATATGGTCCGTAATCGAATTATACATTTGTACTGTAAATTGCTTTGGATGAAATTGAAGAAATAAGTAGTAGTTGGCAAATGTGTGTGATATTGTGGCTTAACCCATTGCTTCAGTTATTGTGATGAAGCCGTGTTGCATCAATGGGAAGGTGTTTGAGTGGATCCTCATCTCTAGACGGAGCTGTTTCAGAGCTGGGGTCCGGTATTATGTCAGAGGTGAGATTCAAGCGTATATACATATTCACACAGTGGTCTTTGCTGCAGATATTACAGTTTTCCCCTGCGCCTCAGGCATTGACTCTGAAGGACATGCTGCTAACTTCGTTGAGACAGAACAGATAGTCCAGTACAATAATGCCCAGGCGTCCTTTGTGCAGGTTGGTGGAAACCACTGTTGGCCTCTATTACAAGAATATTTGTTTTTGACCTCCCAGAATTCACCTCACAGATTTCATTTGTGCTCTTTCACTCTCCGCTTGCACAGACTCGAGGCTCCATGCCCTTTTTCTGGTCTCAAAGACCCAACCTGAAGTACAAGCCCAAGCCACAGATAAGCACTGACACCAATCATGTAAGACCACTTATGCTGCTACAGCAACTTTTTTTAGTTGTTAGGTTTTTTTTTTATTTCAACTATCAGAGGTTGAGAAACGTCTATCTATCTATCTATCTATCTATCTATCTATCTATCTATCTATCTATCTATCCTTGCAGATGGATGGATTCAGGAGGCATTTTGAGTCGCAGGTTCTCATTTATGGCAAACAAGTGATTCTAAATTTGGTGAGTGAACTCTTTCAATCCAGTTGTGTAGCCAATTGTAGTTGATTGTGATTGGTCACATAGTTTAAAATAATTGCTTTATCTGCAGGTGAATCAGAAAGGATCTGAATTGCCCCTTGAACAGGCCTTCGCCAAAATGGTCAACGGCATGGAGAACGGACTCATCAAGTATTTCAGCAGTTTCTTTTAATGCCTACAAATGCATTTTTAGTGGTGCTTGCTAAGGCAACTACTATTGCTCATACTAGGAATATACTTTGAACAAACCCTTAAGACTAAGTATTGAAGTACGTCACATAACTCATCCTACACCGTTTGTGCTACAGACATGATTAATGCCTCAAACCATGCGGCTTGTTGAGGAGAAGTGTGCTGTTACTTTCTAAGTGATCAGACTTTAGACGTGTGGGCTTTACTTTCATCAAGGCATTTAATTGATCTAAAAAGTAAAAGCAGTAATATTGTGAAATACTACAATTTAAAATAACTGTTTTCTATTTGAATATATTTTAAAATGTAATTTATTCCTGTGGTATCAAAGCTTTATTACTCCAGTCTTCAGTGTCACACGATCCTTCAGAAATCATTCAGATATGCTGATTTGTGGCTCAAAATTTTTTTTTTATTATTATCAATGTTGAAAACACTTGTGTTTCTATCTGCTACTTGTATATCACTGTTTAGTGACGCTTTGCATCTGTTTTAAGGTACATAGCATTTGACTTTCACAAAGAATGCAGTAAGATGAGATGGCATCGCCTCCAGATTCTCGTTGATGCTGTTTCTGACATGCAAGAGGAGTTTGGGTTTGTACTCATTTCTGTACCTTTTTATAGGAAAGACTGTGGTCTGTGATGTTGTCACTGATTCGCTTTGATCTGGTTCTTGAACGCTGATTCTGCAGGTACTTCATGGTGAGCTCAGACGGGAAGGTGACGTCCGAGCAGTCTGGAGCCTTCCGCAGTAACTGTATGGACTGTCTGGACCGCACTAACGTTATTCAGAGCCTGCTGGCCAGACGCTCTCTACAGAGCCAGCTACAGGTGACGCCACATCACAAACAGCATGTCTGACGCATCCTAACTAGGTGTGATGCAATTGAGGACACTCTTACGCACTCAAGAAAGCTGACTGTCTGTAATTTTGTGGCTTTGTGCAGGATTTTTCAGTCAGTTGGGGCCACTTTCTTGAAACTTGATGAATCATGTCTGTTTAGGAAGTGTAAAAACGCGGTCATAATTGATGACGGACATATAGAAATCAGCGATATGGATCAAAAATGTGGTTAAATATTGATTTGTCATCATGTGTACCTCCTCACCTTGAGCTGTATGTCATTTCAGAGGATGGGTGTCCTCCACGTAGGCCAAAAAATTGAGGAGCAGGCTGATTTTGAGAAGATTTATAAGAACGGTGTGTTTATTTTGCTAGAAAATTCCCTTAGTAAACACAATTCTCTTGTTAGCGACTGTAAATAAAGCAAGAAACCTCATTATTTTCCTTTTCTTTTTCTCGCAGCGTGGGCAGACAATGCCAATGCTTGTGCTAAACAGTACGCAGGAACTGGAGCCCTGAAAACCGACTTCACCAGGTATTCATCCCAGACTCCTTTCAGAATATGCACAGTTGTGTGCGTCTACCATTGTAACCTTCACCTTTGACCTCAGAACCGGGAAGAGGACTCACTGGGGCTTGGTAATGGACGGCTGGAACTCAATGATCCGTTACTACAAGAACAATTTCTCAGATGGGTTCAGACAAGTGCGTATGAATTCTTTGTCTTTATGTCTTTCAATCAGACTGTGGTGAATTTTAAGTAGTTGACTTTGCCCACAGGACTCCATCGATCTCTTCCTTGGAAACTATACAGTGGATGAAACCGAAAGTTTGACGCCTCTGAATGTGCAGAAGGACTGGAAGTTCCTTTTGGTCAGTGCTTTTCCCATACTGCCTGTAGTGAGAGAGAATTTGAATTAAAAGAGGACATTACTATGACGAATAAAAAAGAGAAAAATTTACTCCAATCTGCTTCATGCAGTCCTCACATTTATAATTCAACACCACCAGCTGCTGGTCATTCCCTGCTTATTTTATATTCATGTGTCTCTGTAATTCCTTCTGCAGCTTCCTGTTATTATGTTGGTGGCCTTCTCCATGTGCATCATCTGTCTCCTAATGGCTGGTAAGGTCTGACATTATAACACAATGTGAAATAAAGCAATAGGGTCAATGTCATGACACATTTTTGTCCAAATCTATAGACCTTAGTCAGGTTAGATGCCATATTGAGTTTAATGCAGATGAAAACCAGGCTGTGAGGGATAGACTTGGCACAATGGCATACACTGCTTACTGAAGGTTTTTTTCGGAATAATGTTTTATCAGCTGAGCAATTGGTATGTTGTTAAACAATTGTACAATCCATTGAATGCACTGTACTTCTATCCCTCACAGCCTTGTTTTCATTCCTGTCAACAATTCAATATGGTGCTACTCTGACTAAGGTCTATTAATATATAAAATTTTAAAAAGTAATTTACACTTGAATACACCTCTTTTATGATGTTTTTAATTTCTGAATTACAGTTCATTTTGATTCAAATGTCCTGATATCATAAATTAGAAATGTAAAATGTTTCCTAGAATTTTTTTTGAACAAAACTGCTTATTAATTTTTGAAAAAATTGTATATCAAAGTCATGTGATGCGACTAAAAGGGCATGTGGTGCAAACAACATGTGAAAACATGCAAGAAATAAAAAACATAAAATAGGAAGATAGAATTATATCACTCAGAGCCCTGCAGATTCTCATGACTGTGTCTAGATCAAGGAGTCTCAAAATATTAGACATACTTTATCAATGCAAGGTTAGTTCAGGTTGTCAAATGTCATGTGGTGCAACTCCCCAAAAACTTGATATTTCTGAATTAATAAGATTTGTTGAAAAAAATCTTAATATATATTATGTGCACTCACATGTATTGAATGTGTAAAGAAAATGTTAATTTTAATAATATTACTTAATATTACACCACATGGGCTTGATGAATATACGGCTTTCATTACCCTTAGATTATGAACCGTTCGATCGTTGTATTTCCAGGGGGTTGTGTTAAATGACATATTATCAATATTAATTGTGTTTTTGGACTTGATCCTGACAGTGTTTTAAATCCTGTTTAATCTCTCTCGTCTTGTTTGTTTAAGAGTCTATATGCCTCAACATTACATTTCAGATTACTCATTGCTCATTCAGGAAGTATTCAGTATTTGCCCATGATGTCAAGGGAACAGTTTGTGAGACATCAGTTGTCTTAGTGGTCTATCAGTCCTTACCGGTCTCGAACATCTACAGTTCTAATGAAAACCACACTAGACTAATTTAGGTATTGTTTGGTTTTGATCATAGAGGTGTCATCTCATCCCTTTTAAAAGACTTCTCAACCACTGTATCTAATGGTTTCTTGATGAAATCATGTTTAATAAATTCTACCAATAAAATGCAACTTGTCCTGCTTTTTACTGATACAAAGGCCATTAACAGGGCTGAAACAAAAACAGCCATAATTAGATCTGAGTGCATGAGATAAGTCTGGTTTAAAGGGTATGGTTTAGATACGCTGATCAGCCACAACATTAAAACTACTGACAGGTGAAGTGAAAAACGTTGATTATATTGCTACCACGGGTTATATTAAGCAACAAGCAAACAGTCAGTTTCATGTGTTAGAAGCAGGAAAAATGAACAAGTGAAAAGATCTGAGCAAGTTTGACAAGGACCAAATGGTGCTGGCTGGACGACTGGCTCAGAGGACCTCCAAAATGGCAAGTCTTGTGGGGTGTTACCGGTATGCAGTGGTTAGTTACCTAAAGTGGTGCAAAGAAGGACAACCTGTGAACCAACATCAGGGTCATGGACGCCCAAGATGACCCCGTCCATCACCAAAAGTAGTACAATGGTCATGCAAGTGTCAGAACTGGACTGTGGAGGAATGAAAGAAGGTTGCCTGATCTGATAAATCATGTTTTCTTTTAGATCACAGGGATGGCCGGGTGTGTGTGTGTGTGTGTGTGTGTGTTGTTTACATGGGAAAGTGCTTGCTTGCAGCAGGATGCACAATGGGAAGAAGGCAGACCGGTGGAGGCAGTGTTGTGCTCTGGCCAATGTTCTGCTGGGAAACCTTGGGTCCTGGCATTCATGTGGATGTTATTTTGACGCTTACCACCTACCTAAGGATTGTTGCAGATTGTCTTGGTGCCAGAAACCACAGGACACATGAACTCTTGTGGAGTCCATGCCTCGATGCATCAGAGCTGTTTTGGCAGCACGGGGGTGATCTATATTATATTAGGCACGTGGGTTTAATGTTGTGGCTGATCAGTGTATGTCCAGTCCAATCAGCCAGTGTTACACCATCCATGTAATAACATAAATGCAATCACTGATATTAACTACGAATGCAACATTCCTTCCTGAGGGCATACAACAACAGAAGTGTATTAGATTCATTATATTATCGGTGGCCACTTTACAGAAGCTTTCCATCACGAGGTTCAGATGTTATCTCTTTTTAAAGTATTATCAACTAGCAAAGCATTAGGAAATGTATGTTACAACGAATGCAAGTATCAGTAGCTGAGTTGGGGCTTTGGCTATGTCTCATCTTTATAATGTTGAATTCACTTCAGTCATTTTCACTTCTCTCTGAATCCGTTTGCAAATGATTTACTTTTCGAAGGTCCATCCTGAATACACAGCGCCTCCACGTGCTTATCTGCTGGATACAACATATCATGTAAACAAAGATGTAAGGCTTTTTTTTAGCACTCTAAAGACTTAAAATCACAGACAATATTAATTTAAATTTTAAACATCTATAAATGATCAAACTAAGCAATAAAATACAAACAATCAGTCATTTTCTCCAAAGAGTAACTGATTTTAAAGACGACCTTTAAAGACAGACCTAATCTAATCGTTAATCGATAGGCTTTTGTAGAAGCAAATGTCCGCTTTTTTTAATAACAGTGTTTAACAGAAGAAATGGTAAACCGCGCACACGTTCCCTGTTGAAAAAACCAGCATATGCTGGTTAGGTATGTTTTGATGCTGGTTTATGCTGGTCCTTTGCTGGTTTGAACTGGTCCTTTGCTGGTTTATGTTGGTCCTTTGCTGGTTTATGCGCTGGTCCTTTGCTGGTTTGAACTGGTCCTTTGCTGGTTTATGTTGGTCCTTTGCTGGTTTATGCGCTGGTCCTTTGCTGGTTTGAACTGGTCCTTTGCTGGTTTATGTTGGTCCTTTGCTGGTTTATGCGCTGGTCCTTTGCTGGTTTGAACTGGTCCTTTGCTGGTTTATGTTGGTCCTTTGCTGGTTTATGCGCTGGTCCTTTGCTGGTTTGAACTGGTCCTTTGCTGGTTTATGTTGGTCCTTTGCTGGTTTATGCGCTGGTCCTTTGCTGGTTTGAACTGGTCCTTTGCTGGTTTATGTTGGTCCTTTGCTGGTTTATGCGCTGGTCCTTTGCTGGTTTGAACTGGTCCTTTGCTGGTTTATGCGCTGGTCCTTTGCTGGTTTATGTGCTGGTCCTTTGCTGGTTTATGCGCTGGTCCTTTGCTGGTTTAAGCTGGTCCTTTGCTGGTTTATGCTGGTCATGTGCTGGCAAAGGACCAGCATAAACCAGCAAAGGACCAGCGCATAAACCAGCAAAGGACCAGCGCATAAACCAGCAAAGGACCAGCGCATAAACCAGCAAAGGACCAGCGCATAAACCAGCAAAGGACCAGCGCATAAACCAGCAAAGGACCAGCGCATAAACCAGCAAAGGACCAGCGCATAAACCAGCAAAGGACCAGCGCATAAACCAGCAAAGGACCAGCGCATAAACCAGCAAAGGACCAGCGCATAAACCAGCAAAGGACCAGCGCATAAACCAGCAAAGGACCAGCGCATAAACCAGCAAAGGACCAGCGCATAAACCAGCAAAGGACCAGCGCATAAACCAGCAAAGGACCAGCGCATAAACCAGCAAAGGACCAGCGCATAAACCAGCAAAGGACCAGCGCATAAACCAGCAAAGGACCAGCGCATAAACCAGCAAAGGACCAGCGCATAAACCAGCAAAGGACCAGCGCATAAACCAGCAAAGGACCAGCGCATAAACCAGCAAAGGACCAGCGCATAAACCAGCAAAGGACCAGTTTAAACCAGCAAAGGACCAGCATAAACCAGCAACGGACCAGCATAAACCAGCAAAAGGACCAGCTTAAACCAGCATCCCAGCGTCAAAACATAGCTAAGCAGCATATGCTGGTTTTTTCAACAGGGTTGTAGAGTAAACAAACAAACAAACAAACGACTGCTTCAACAATATGCTGTCGCTTATTGTTATCCAGACGGGGCTTTTATTCTGAAAATCATCTTTCGTATTCAATATTTCCTGGTAAGTTTTCTTCCTTTCATTCTGCGAATCTGAGCTGTAATTGTTTTGAAACACACGGAGCACAACAGAAAGCATATGTTAGGAAAGACCGAGATCCGACACATAAAGACCGCAGATTTCTGTCCACGAGATCCGCGCGAGTGTTGTAGTCTGGGCTTTCTCTCGTCCCGTGATGTGGATGAGCTGCATTGATCTCTAGACATCATACATCTGATATAAGTTCCTCTGTTCTAGGATTATTGATTTCTCCTCACTAAATCACTCCAGTAAGTTCATGTTGTTTATCAGTGAAGTGAAGTGTTAGTATTGTATTGAGGGCAGTGTGTTAAACAGTCTGTCTGAAACAAAAGATGCTACAGTGCCAGCTACTTTAGCTTAACACTGATACAAACATGCCAGTGATCATGCAGAACTCATATGATGGACAATTGTGCCTCTGATTTCTTCTAAATGTGAATGCATGGCGTTATGAGAATATTCATGGACATAATTGTTGTTTTGTATGTTAATTAGTGAATTTCCTCCAGTGTCAATAAATAGATAAAAATAACAGAAATATTCAGAAAGCTTTTTACTGTTTGAAAAAAAATCCTTTATATTATTAAGTTACAAACATCATTATGATTTTAAGCGTAAATATCTGTTGTTTGTATTAATGTAGTATTGCTACAAACTGGTGTTTCTTTCGTTTTAGGTGTAGTAAAGCATGGATGTGGATGTGGTGAGTTTCCGTTTGCCTGGGCATGGAGACACGGCCCTGAGTAACATCAAC